GTATTAATATCAGGATTATTACCTGGGCCAGGGGAAAATTGGTACAGGCAAAAAAAAATTAAAGAACTGAATACCTGGCTAAAAGAGTGGTGCGGAGGGCAGGGGTTTCACTTTAAGGGCCACTGGCCCCAGTATTGGGGGAGACAGGAGCTATTCCAAAGGAATGGACTCCATCTAAACAGGGCTGGGACAAATGTCCTGGGGACACGAATAAATAAGGAGGTAGACAGGGCTTTAAACTACTGAGGGGTGGGGGGGTAAAATCAATCACATGTAATCCGTCACAAGTAAAATTGGACCGATGAAAGTGGGAGAGCAGATTAACGAGGGAGATGAGCAAAGTGTGTCAAGTGGGGAAAAGAAACCTAGGGATAGGGTATTGGTGAATAGGACTAAAACCTGAAGTCAGAATTAAGGGCGCTATATCTGAATGCGCGAAGCATTCGAAACAAAATAGATGAACTAACTGCACAAATAGAAACAAATGGTTATGATAGCCATCACCGAGACATGGGTACAGGGAGATCAAGGGTGGGAGCTAAATATTCCAGGGTACGTGGTGTATAGAAAAGATAAGCATTGTGGTAAATGCGGAGGGGGGATAAAAACAGTAGAGAGGAAAGATTTTAAATCAGAAAAGCAGGAAGTAGAGTCAGTATGGGTAGAAGTACGTAACAACAAGGGGCAGAAGCCTCTAGTGGGAGTAGTTTATAGACCCCCGAGCAACAGTCACAGTATCTCTCAAGGTATAAATCAGGAAATTAGTGGAGTATGTAGCAAAGGAAAAACATTAATTGTGGGTGATTTTAATCTGCACATAGATTGGGACAACCAAATTGGGAAAAGTAAGATAGAGGAAGAGTTTATAGAATGTATTGGGATAATTATCTAGATCAGTATGCCAAGGAGCCAACCAGGGAACAGGCCATATTAGACCTTGTTTTGTGCAATGAAGCAGGGCTGATCAAACTGGAAATTAAGGCTCCTCTAGGGCAAAGTGATCATAATATGATGGAATTTAGCATTAAGTTAGAGAGGAAGTAGTTAAGTCCGAAGCAAAGGTCTTAAATTTAAGTAGAGCCAACTTTGCTGGTGTGAGAGAGGATTTAGCTAAAATAAACTGGGAAATTAGACTTAAGGATTTGACAGCAGACCAGTAATGGCAGACGTTTAATGAGATAGTGCAAAATTCCCAGCGAGCATGTATTCCTTTGAGGAATAAGAATGCCACAGGAAAGATGACCCAACCGTGGCTAACTAGAGCAGTTAGGGAAAGTATAAAGTTAAAGGAAGAAGACTGTAAAACAGCTAAGATGATTAGTAAACCCGAGGATTGGGAGAACTTTAGGGATCAACAAAGGAGAACCAAAAATGTGATTAAGAGGGAGAAAATGGAATATAAGGGCAAACTAGGGAGGAACATAAAGACAGACTGTAAGAGTTTTTACAAATATATAAAGAGTAAGGCTGTCAAAAGTAAATGTGGGTCCATTAGAGGCAGAGATGGGGGGAATTACAGTAGGGGACAAAGACATAGCAGCGTCATTAAACTAGATAAGGAAAAGCTGTTTCCGCTGGTAGCTGTGTCTGTGACCTGTGGTCATAGTCTTAAGATCTACCAAAAGAAGCAGAGGGGAGGTTAGAAGAAATTTTTTCACTCAGCGAGTTTTGGAATTTGGAATGATCTGCCTGAAAGGGTAGTGAAGTCCAATTCGATAACAGCTTTTAAGAGAGAACTGGATAGGTATCTGGGGAAGACGGGTTTGCAGGGTTATGGGGAGAAAGCTGGTGATTGGGGTAAGTGAAAGTGACTTGCTCTGTCAAAGAGCCGGCACAGACTCGATGGGCCAAATGGCCTCCTTCTGTGCCATAACGTTCTATGAATCTAAGTACTTTGCTACTGTCTTCACCTTAGAAGACACTGAAAACCTACCAAGAATAGAGGGGAACCAAGAAGACAATGTTAGCGAGCAACTTGGGGAAATTAATATTAGTAAAGAAATGGTTTTAGGTAAATTGTCAGGTCTTAAAACTGATAAATCTCCTGGACCTGATGGCCTACATCCTAGGGTTTTAAAAGAGGTGGCTACTGAGATTGTGGATGGCTTGTCTTTGATCTTCCAAAATTCTCTGGATTCTGGAATGGTTCCCATTGATTAGAAGATTGCAAACATAACACCACTATTTAAGAAGGGTGGGAGAGAAAAGATGGGGAACTATAGGCCAATTAGTCTGACATCAGTGGTTGGGAAAATTTTCGAGTCCTTAATTAAGGATGTCGTTATGGGATTCCTGGAAGACCATAACAAGATTAGGCAGAGTCAACATGGTTTTACAGAAGGGAAGTCATGCTTAACTAATCTTTTAGAGTATTTTGAAGATGTATCTAGCAGGTTAGATAGTGGGGAACCAGTAGATGTAGTATATTTAGATTTTAAGAAGGAATTTGACAAAGTGCCACACAAAAGGCTATTGCACAAGATTAAGGCCCACGGGATTAATGGGTACATATTAGCATGGATTGAAGAGTGGCTAACGGGTAGAAAACAGAGAGTAGGGATAAACGGGTCATTCTCGAATTGACAGGATGTGACTAGTGAATTTATGGAATTCTCTACAACCAAAAGGCTGTAGATGCTCAGTCCTTGAACATATTCAAGACTGGGATTGACAGATTTTTTGAAAATAGAGGGATTAGGGGACATGGGGATAGGGCAGGTAATTAGAGTTAGGTCAGAAGATCAGCCATGATCTTATCGAATAGCGGGGCAGGCTTGAGGTGCCGAATGGCCTACTCCTGCTCCTAATTCTTATGTTCTTATGTCTATATCTTTTGAATGGTTCAATCAAGTCTATATCTATGGTTCTACGTTTAGGATTTAGAAGAGCAAGTTCAAGACAGATGCCAGGAAGTATATCTTTAGGCAGAAGTGCACTGACAACTGGAACAGATTACAAGAAGGGTGAAAACAGAAACAGAAGTTGCTGGGAACACTCAGCAGGTCAGGCAGCATCTATGGAGAAAGGAAAGTGAGTCAACATTTCGGGTCCATGACAGGTCGTTCTTGTTTTCAGATTTCCAGCATCTGCAGTATTTTGCGTTTTGTTTACATGAAGGGTGGTTGAAGCCAGAATGCTGGACTCATTTAGAAGCCAGCTTGATTGTGGAGGATAGTAGGGTGGATTTCATGGAAGCATGAGATTCAATGGGCTGAAGGATGATTTTCAGCTGATACTCTCTTGTGACATCTCAGGTGCTACCTTTTTGTCACAAGAAAGGGTGATTGTGGGTAGGATACCTGCCTCATTAAAGAAACAATTTGATGTTGCAAATGGAAGGATCATTTTACATTTCACAGCTTCCATCTTGTTCTCGCATTGAAAGATCTTTTGAATGAAAATTAGACTGCTTAATTATCAACTGTCAAGGAGTATGAGGCATTAAACAGTTTCTGCACTGGCATTCTAGATGATGAGATCAAATAGGCCGAACAACCTTCTTTGCCCACCTCTCTCTTGGAACCTACTGCCTTTAGTTACAGCAACCATCCTGTCCAAACAATAAAGTTTGTGTAGTTGTACTGAGAGGAAATCAGTTAATCTTTTTTCACTACAACTTGCTTTTGATAGTCCAGTTTACCACATTGAAACAACAAAGCACCTCCCATAATGAGTTTCTTTGAAGTGCAGTGAGTGCTTTGTAGGCAAATGTGATAGCTCAAGTGAGGCAGTGGCGTCTCTCAAACCACAATGAGATGGACAAATAATCAGTTTATTTTTTCCGGTGTGGGAGAGGCACTGGGACTTTTAATCAGGGAAAAATATTGGCCTAAATATCGGGAAAGTTCTCTGTTCTTCAGAAAAGTGCTTTGGGATCTCTAATCTGCCTGAAGTCAGTTTAATAATGTAAGGTTCACCAGAAAGAGACTTTACCCAATATAGTGGTGTAGATTCCAAATCTTTTAATATACACAATTCAAAGGTTAACACATACAATTATTATTTTGTGAAGTTACGTTAAAACAGTTAAGATTCAACAAAACCGATATTACCCCATTCTATTTGGGATGTCGCTGACCACTAGCTGCCTCACAACTGTTCCTCCTACAATGATTCCAACTATTCCAAAGTTACATCTTTTATATGTTTCTAACTCCATCTCCCCTTGTCACAGAGATAGCCCCCTCTCTACGCAGGCTGCTTTGGAAAAAGAGAAAGAGAGATATGGACAACTTCCACAGCCTGCTTGTTTCTCAGTTTTAAGAGAGCCAGATGCCTAAGGCTGCAGCCTTTTCTTTCTGTGGTCCATTCTTCTTACATCTATACTCAAGCACCTGATTTCTCATTATCTCAAAGGAGTGAACATTTTCCTAGGAAAATATGAAATGTAATCAGAAGCTGACCTCAACTGGTCCAGCAAAGCTACTTATAACGACTGCTAAGCTAGTCATTAAATCAAACAAACCTTATTAAGGGATTATAGGTAGGTTACATTCTAAACGTATATAAAGATTAAGTAAAAGCCTTAAAAAACATTAAGCATCACCAATAATCTTACAATAATAATAATAATCCTTGCATTTGATAAAGCGCTTATCACATCTTTGAGACGTCTCAAAGGGCTTCACAAAATATACTGTAAAGTGAATTGACTGTATATTTTGTGGGCAAGTTTAACATCTCATATGAAGGGCATACCTCCAACAATCCACATTATGTTATGCACTGCATTTTGGGACATTTTTCTCACTGATCATATTACATAGAATGATATAGCACAGAAAGAGGCCAACTAGTCTGTGTCAAACTACTGTCAGTTCCTATTTTATGATATTTCATGCTTTTGCAACTATTTAATCTATAGGATTGTTGGCTTCCTTCTCAAGTGTTCAATTCTTTTACCTGATTTTTCTTTCACCACAATATCTGATATAACACTGTGGTGAATTGCTCAAAAGTAACCTATTCGTAAATGGATCTTTTTGAAATATTGTTTTCAGTTGCGAGAACTAAACCGGATTCGGTAGAAGACGGGACCAGATCTGCTGATGAGGAGAGGGAAGAGAACATGAACGTACGCCAAAGACTTATCGAGTCTCAGATCAGTAGTTCAAACTGTTGAAACAGGAAATATCCAAACACCAGACATTGAACAGCTGTACAAAGCAAGCTGCGGATTTGTTGGAGGTCAGATGTGCGATTAGATGTTACATTGTGTTGTCCTTCCAGTTGAATTGTTTTGTTACTTGGAAGAAAGAACAATATGTGTGCAGGCTCCTGTTGTTTGTTATTAACTTGTTTCTTACCTTTTATTAAAGTTTGTACAATTGTTATTTTGGTCTGCATGGTGAGTGTGCATGTGAGTAGAATGCAGATTAATAAACCTAGTTTACTGGATTGAGGCAGCAAGATAGAGACTGCATACTGGAGGTGTTGGACTCAGAAATGTATTTTATGTATTTATATTAAGGTTGTTTGAATAAAGCAATCGTTACGTTTGTTGCTGAGGATTTTCCTGAGTAGAGTGAAGCTGCTAACTGCATTGGTGCTGATACAAAAAAGGAAACTGCTTCAGTCAGTTGCTAGTAGAACAACTTTGAGCTGGAGAGATATATTCCTGTCTCTCAGTAGCCGATTTGAAAAAGCTGGTTGTCAGACTTTGCTCATCAATCTTTGCACAACTTCCAGTCAGTCTGGCCTCAAATTTGATACAGCGTCACTTACATTTGATGCCACCTCACCTGTCAGGTTGCTTTTCACTTAACATGCTGGTCATTCAAACTATTTACCCACATACTAAACTTGACAAAACTCCTCAAAAAACAGTACAACTTTGTTCACTCCAGCATGATCCCATGCGCATTTACATTTTATAAGAATGTGAAGTTGACCACGTCCTGCACCACGTCTCCTTGCAATCCATTTGTAGTTTTGTAACTCTCCATGGATTATTGACACCAGATGCAGTAGCTGGAACCATTATTTTATTATAAGCTCATAACCTAGGAATTTCCCCACCTCCTCACAGAATATGAGGTTACTTGTTTTAAGTGTTGTGAAAGTTTACTCTAGAATTCAGGAATTACTTGTCTAGTAATGTATATTTTTGTGTCCAAAACTGTTTTGCCAATTCTTTTTGTATTGTACTGTAAGAGTGACTGTTTCCAGATTTGTACTGTCCTTTGTTGTTTTGAAAAAAAACATGACATTTGGAAACTGCAATATTCCAGTATGAGATCCCACATTCAAATTCTACACTGAGTCTTTGCAACAAATTATAGCTCATGTACAAGATTTCTAAATTGTACTTTTTTTAAAAAAAAACATTGTAGATTTTGTAAATATTTTGAATTTAGTTTTAGAAATTCTGCAAAGTTTAACATTGTGTTGTGCTGCTTTAGGGCTCAGTACTGGTTCTGTTTTCTAAGAATTGTTCAATGACCTTGTGATGGTTGTTTAAAGCATGCATGTGAAGTAATTATTGAAGTTACGCTGAGATCAGCTGAAATTTGCTGTTAAAACTGACTTGCGTTTACCTCAGACACATCCCTTAATTAATGTTAAACACGTATGACTGTCACTAAATTGTAGGCCAGAAATTCCACCTAGTGTTCATTCGCCCAAAAGATTATTTTGCCTTCACAATACAAATTCATAGCGCCTTTCACGTCAGCGGGACATTCTAAGGTGGCTAACTGGACTGACTTGGCACCCAAGCTGAGTCGTTTAAAATTTAAGATTAGGCAGAATTACAGAAAATTCAACATTAATTTGTAAACTGGAAAGGCAGCTTCTAAATTAAAGCAGAATTTCAAAATTAGGGTTAGTCTTAAATTTTAAGACAAAATGATCTTACTGACCAAGACTAGATGCAATTTTGTACCTGGTGTCTGTAGTGTTGTTATATTGGTTCTGATTAACTGTTAGACAATAGAACAGTGTCGCACTCCAGAACTAACCACACTGAGCACCATGGGCAGGACACGATACTGTAAATGTATTTATTTACACAAAAGTCAAACTGACCATTAATTATTCTACAGGAGAGGAAGAAAGTAGAACTACATGCCCCTGAACAAAACTGCAGAATGGTCCCCTTTCCTTTGGGGTGCTGCACTTAGTATTCAGATCCAGGTTACCATTTGAAACTGCAGCAGTATTAGTTGACTAGCTGACTTCTCTTTACACCCCTCCCCACCCCACCATAAATTCACTAATGCCCTCTGTCGATTTTATAGAGCTGTATAGATGCTGAAAACGGATTGATTGTTGAGACATCAGTTGCCCTGAACCAAAGGACACTGGCCTTTTAAAAGCCATTTAGCTTTACCTCATTTTATTTATATAATATTATACTTTTATATCTTAAGACGGTGCTGAGTGGAACAAGCTAGAAGCATACTGAAATTGTTTTTTTTGTAATTGAGCCTAATTAACATTAGTTTTAAAAAAATGCAGATTTTACACATTTTGACTGCCAGCAGGCATTTTAATCTCTCGTGAAAGGGATTTGTTTTTTTTGTGAGGAGGAGTTGCCTTAACAGTGGGGTCTGTTTATTTGTCCATCCGTCTGTGAACAGTGGTGTTAAAGTGGCTTCATCAAAATTTAGCTAAACTTTGTGGAAGACTGACTGACTCTGCAGAAAACCTCTCTGTGTATAAATCGTATACTAGTGCAGAGCACTGCGAAATCTTCATGTGTGGCATTTGTCCTTTGTGAGGTTGTGAGCAGTCCTTGCCGTTCCTTAACACTGTGCTGTGCTTTAACTTCTTCAACCTGGAAGTACATCTTCCAAAGCGAATTGCATTTCAAACATGCTTTTCCAGCATTTAGACATCAGCAGACTGGTACTAAGTGACCCGTAAGATAAGGTAAAAATTAAACCTTTTTTTCTAATATATAATATAACAGATTAAAGTAACAAAATCTAATCTCGAGTGCCTACTGACATTGTCATAAATAAAATTAATACGTGACCATTTTAATTGTTCATCTTCAAGCGTACAGCCATCCTGTTAAATGAACCTTTGGAATAGATCTGTAGAGCATGGTATCAGTGATAGAAAGGATGCTGATATAGTCATTTACGAACCAACTTAACCCTAAATTAAAGGAGACAGTATTACCAGCCAGAGAGAGATTCGGACACAAAACAACAATTGAGATTTGAAATCAAGTATCATGTAAGTATCATTAGCCACCATGATTAAAAAAAGAAATTATCAGGCTGATAAAAAGGGAGTCTTTCCCACACACAGATTGTGCATTGTGTGTTAGGGAATGCTTATAAGATGTTAGAACACAAAGCTTTCCTGTATATGTCAAGGAAAGAACACTATATGTGCTGGGATTGAAATGTATTTGTCAGGGTAATAGAGCAATTGTGCTCCCATTGTTGCCAGTGTTAATTGTACCAGATCAATTCTAATTTTAGGCTCTGATAATATATTATTTATTTCCAACAGTGATTATATAGCTATTTAAAAAATGATCTGTAAAGTTGGTTACCCAAAAGCTGAAAATAATCTCCTCTGATAAGAGCAGTGATTACAAAGCTCTATAAACAGAGTACATGATGTACTGTAGGTCAAAATAAGTATGACTATTAAAGCAAGGAAGTTCTACTTATTTCATACCAAAGGACTTTAAAAGATTCTTTAAATATTGGAACCACAATTGTATTATGTAATTCATTTATATTATGATGTCCAATAGTGCAGGGGCTAGCACGCATGCAAGCGAAAGGACCCAGCTTCGATTCCCTGGCAGGGCGAAACTAGGCAAGTTTCTTTATTCCACATGCATCTGTTTACCCAGCAGTAATTTGGTCACTCACTCCATGATTGTTTGTGGGATATTGCTGTAAGCAGTTGGCTGCTGCGTTTCACCCAAAAAATACACACACAAATCATCATTTTAAATTTTACCTGTGCAGTTTAACAATGGTATATTGCCAGCCTCCTGTTGTACATAAACCTTAGCCAGTCATTAGACAAATTGTGTTAAAACATAATCTTTCGTTTGTACAGTACATACGTTTTTCTTAAACAATTAGACTGTTTAAGATACTCATGTTTACCTGAAACTTTGTTTTTTTCCTGAAAATAGTGATTTCCATTTAATTTATATTAATAAAGATGGGTACAGTGACTTAAGACCAGTTCTTTGATTTGTTTTACCTTTAGCCAATAAAGTGGAGATTTCTTTTTCACTAAGAGGTCACTTCAAATTGCTCTTGGCAAATTTAATGTGTCTGGTCTTCTCTAGGTGTCCAGTGAAAAATAATCAAAAGTGCTTCACTTGAAGAATTCATGGATAATGTATGCAGAACTGAAAAAGCTACTTGTGTATTTTATGTTAAATACATTCACATACATACGCACACACATACGTACACACATAAGCTTACACATACATATGTATGCACATACATATGTATGCACATACATACATTACAAATTTACATTTATATAGCGCCTTTCACATTGAGAGGATGTCCCAAGCTGTTTGACAATCCTGGCTTGGCACCCGAGCTGTGGGTAGCAGCCGAGGAGGTTACGGGAAGGGAAAGATGATCAAAGATGTGGTCAAAGAGGAAGGTCTTCTGTTGGACCTTGAGATAAGTGATGGAGGGGGCGAGTCGGAGGGACTCCAGGATACAGTTCCAGACAATGGGGGCAAATATAACAACATTTATATAGTGCCCTTCATGCTGACAACGTTTTGGGAGTGCTTAAGCCTTGTGGAGCTTAACACCGAGCCAGGGAGATAGGTGAGGTGACTGTGTGCAGCGAAAGAGCAAGGCTTTCAGATGCAATCTGAAGATGGGTAAGAAGGGGGCCAAGCGGAGGGATTGCAGGAGAATGTTTCAGAGTTTTGGGGCATAGTGGCTGAAAGCACAGCCACCAGTGTGGAAAGAAGGGACAAGGGTTGTGTAGAAGGCCAGAGCCAGCTGAGCAAACAGTAGAGGAGTGGGGTGTAAGCAAATCGGAGAGGACGGGAGATGCCAGGGCGTGAAGTGATTTGTACTTGATGTGAGGATCTTGATATTGATTCATTCTGCCATAAGGAGCCAGTGGAGCCGGATAAGGACTGTTGTGATGAGGGTGCAGAGCCTGATAATGGTGAGAATAGGGGCGGTGGAGTTTTGGATCAGTTGTACTGAAATAGACTGAAAACCCAACGGCCGATGGTGGGGTGGGTAGGGCGAGAATATGAAGCTGACTCATGCCTTCTGAGCAAAGGTAGATACCACATGCATGCCATGACCTTCTCTGCCTTCCCCCGCCTCTGCAACGTCACCCAGCTCCGCCTCTGCCACCGCCACTCCTCAGGCTGCCGAAACCCTCATCCACACATTCATCACATCTATGCCCGACTATGCAAATTCCCTACTTCTCAGCTTTCCCAACTCTTATACATATTCACAAACATACATGTCCACGCTCGCATGTTTTGCAGTTACTATAAAATGAGTTAGTCTGATCCTCCAAATAACTAGCTGTATTCACCCTGCTGAAAGGAACTCTGCTCTGAAGTGCTCCTGAAAGAAGATTAATAAATAATCTTGAGAAATTAACAAATAAAGGAGATTGTGTTGGAGCAGAGTTCCTGTGGGTCATTGTGATGCACATTAATTATCTGCAAAAGTTGCTTTTTGCAAATTGCAAGTCGTAAATC